AACTCCCAGAATTTGGGAGTTGAAGTCCACTCATCTTAAAGTGGCCAAGTTTGGACAACACTGCCATAGGTCATGTAACAAAGAACCCAAACCCAGACTTGATTTGTTCCATAATTTTGGCATTCCAGAAATGACTTAAAAACTTTCATTGAGAGAATTAAAAAGGGGGCCTCCCCCTGATTTTGATTTTGGTTCTTTCCTCCAATTTCTGAAGTGGTTTTGTGGTTTTTAAATTAAGCAGGACATAAGGACAAATTTACAGTAAGTTGTAAATTTATGATCACAAGTCAAAATGTGCTGGGGTATAGCTTGCTAAAACAAATAAACATTCTTTAAATAATTTACCAATAGCTATGTGCATATCCTGTTCTCCCTTTTTTATTTTATTGGGTTTTTTTGTCAACACATTTCTAATTTATGCCCAAATGAAGGACATTAGGCAGCTCTAATATTTGGATGTAAACACTTTAAAAATTAATTTTAATGAATGCTATGGGTTATTCTCTTCCCAGCCTTCCCCCCAAGACACACCATAGAGTACAAAGAGATATAGGCATATTACGATTCTCTAGAGATGCCCTAGGGATTCTTTATTTGAAGCTAGTTTTTCACTCATGCTTTTGCCAACAAAAATAAAATTCACATAAGACAAAACAAATGGTATTCCTGTTTTGAAACACGGCCTGTCTCCCGTGTTTATCCATTCTTTGTCCCACTGTAAGCTATAGCTTAAAGGCAAATACTTAATATTTGGATTTATTCTGCAATAAATAGAGCTTCTGGTGCTGGTCTCATCTGTTTTCCATACAGAGTTCTATAAAGTCAACCACCAGCTAAATAAAAGTTTAGTCTCCGGATAACTAAGAGGACATCTCTACTTGTACATCCCATCCTGCCTCATTCAGACCAGAGATTAGCATTTTAAAAATAAAATATCTATGTTTTTACAAGGCTCTAGTGGGATGATCCTGGACTAAGGTAGGCGCAACTGCCACGAGGTCTACAGGAAAAAGAGAGCAAAGGAAAAACGAGACCAAAATAATAGAATTAGACCCAGCATGTGTGAGTATCATTCCTGACAGAGCTCAATGCAAACTGTATTCTGTATAACTGCAAGGACCTCTTATTATAGTTCAAACAACACTGAACAATTTGCTTCTGAAAGATTGTTGGCTTGGCTCAAAAGGATGTATTTTATTTTTCTGCATACAAAATATGAGGAGGATAGGTCTGATTTTCATCTTGGATTGCGAAACTGCGACTTTTGCCACATTTTGCAATTTCTTTCCAAAACAGCCGCTGCTACCAAATAGGATCATTCACAGTAGAAATATTGCCTTTAATCATTTGGCTTCAATACATGTGGCCCTGCTATATAATCAGTTGCAAATGGGAAAGGCTGTCCTTTTCAGCGTCAAACAAATATGTAAGGAGGAGATTGATTCAGGAAAAAAAAGAAGCAGCATAAATTAACCTGAAACTTTTCTTGGCAGTAGGCTATTTTAGCCATATCTATGAAAGTAATTTTCTACGAAGGTCAAGAATGCTGGCTGATGGAAAACCTGCTGTTTTTCACATATATGGGACCCAGGAGGGGGATTTTAACACAGAAGTAGAGGATATGCTTTACTTCTAGAAGAACCTGGATTCAACCCCTAATATGTTCATTTATTGGATCTACGCTAAGGAGACCTGGAAGGAACTTCCTCACGTCCTTAGGGAGTGACTATACTTAGGCCGGATAATATTGATAGAGGATTAGATGTTTCCATTATCCAGCAGTGTAAAGCAGCTTTACTTGATCTTTTATGACTAGGCTGGGTAATCTGAAGCTCCAGAGACGGGTTCAGATCACAAACACTATTTCTGCAGCTCCCAGAGCCCCTTCCAAACACGCTGACTGAAAATGGAGGGCCTGGTTCTCCAAAATGTTGAGTGATGAAATGCCCTTGGAGATTAGAAGGAAAAAGAATCAATATCATTTGAACTTGATCAAACCCACACTCCGAGCAGGTGGCCCACGAGATGCATGGACTTTCATTACGAGAACTTGCCAGCCTGCGTGGCCACTGCTGGCAATTCTGGGAGTTCAAGTCACACCTTTGGGGGCCACCAAACTGAGAACGTCTGAGTTGCTGTGCATAAAAAAATAGGTTGAACTTCGAGAAGAAAAGATGGGATTGAAATCCGTCAGTGAAGCAACTTGTAATAATATAACTATTTTTCAAGGAGCTGAGGAATTCTGAACACACTTCTTTGATTGGAATGGTTTATTGTCCTCCGTATCTCCTTCTAGATCAGCCCTTCCCAATGGGCTTCCTTGAGAGATTTACTCTGCCAACTATTCCTGACCACTGGTTATGCTGGTTAAGACTGATGGGACATGCAGTCCAAAACAATTGGAGAGCGAGTGCTTTTAAAAAGTCTATTTGATTTTCTCTCCGGATAACTAAGAGGACATCTCTACTT